AGTAGTGGTAATATTTTTGACCTTTCACCTCATTAATATTAAAATTCGTCATTATTTTCGTATCTAACCAACTTTCTAACCAAATAACTCTGTGGTATTAGAACCAAAAGTTTCAGCATTGCTAATACCAATGCCTGATATTGGATACGATCCTAAGCCAATTTCATTTGCCTCCAATCCTCGCAACCTAGCTATTAAAAATCTATCGTAATGTCATCCTGTCGTTGTCCCACATCCTTGGCATTCGAACAGTGGGCGTCATTAAATAAATGTTCCATTCACATTCTGCAAACATTCCTTGTCTCCGAAACCTAGGTGCAGGCCAGACCATCGCAGCCTTCTGACTGTTGGTACTATATTAGGCGCTTTCGCTATCTGGTTTTTTGCATATCCACAATTTTATTTCAGTATTACGAGGCTTCTCAATATCCTATCCGCGGCTAAGGTAGAAGATGCCGCGCAGGCCCAAACAATTGCGCGCGCAGTTTCATTGACTCTCCCAACCATTGTGACTCTGGACAATACATATTAAGTTCTCTCATGGTGTATAACTCAGAAAATACCTGTTATGAGTTTTCCGTTTAATACGTTTTCGACCCCTCGCATATAACGAGAGTCACCTGTAAAAAATAAGTCCTTAAATTCTTCATTACGTAATACCAGTGACATAAATTACCGATGTACTATAATATTCCTGGAAAAAAATTGTTTTCCACGTGCTTAATATCGTAGCATTTGCAATTTATATTCATTTGAAGTAATATAAGTTTTATGAGCGTACAAAACACATAGCCATAAGTTTCGACCAATCTTCCACTCTAAGGAAGAAAATATGTCAGATTTTGACATCAAGGCACTGAGAATAACATTTGGCCTTAAGAAACGGAAAATAACAGAATTATGGTGAAAAATTACACAAAGAGGAGCTACAAAATTTGTATTCTCCATCAGGTATTAATAACGTGATTAAATCAAGAAGCATTAAAATATTCAGACATGTGGTAAACATAAGGGACATAATCAATTCATACAAATTTTATTTGGAGAACCTGAAGAAAACAGACCAAGGCATAAATGGTAGTATATTAAAATTTATCTAGGATAAAGACGTTGTGAGTGCCAGAGTCCACTGGCGAGATATTGTAAAGAAGGAAATAAACATTTTAGATTCATAAAATTCATTGAGTTTCTTGACTATTAGCTTCTCGACCAGGCGTCAGGTTCATGAATTTACGTGCTAAAAAATTAGGCAAATTATTAAGATTTTGCTTCATAGGCTTACTGGCAAAGTTATCGGAAACCGGATGTTCTAATACAGAATTTTGCGGCTTCACACATTTGTCAGTCCCATGGACGGAATTATGAAGTAATGGTTGCGACAGAACACATTTTTGTTCCAACCTTTTTAATTCTCATACCTCATATGATACTTTACGATAGAGATTGTGTCGTATATTGTTAAAAAAGAACGAACAAAGGCCACGCCCTAGACGGCGCAGCCACTGTGATCGGCCACAACAGACTTTACTTTAATTAAAATTCCTGTTATTAACAGCTGAAACCTACATCCGCTTAACTGTGCAGAAGTGAAGCCACAATCAATATGGGTAGACATTTTCCATCATATTGATTAAATACTTTAGGTTTAAGTAATCAGTTTTATTATGCAAATGTAATAACAGCAAAGTGGGTATTACTTATGACAGAGATCCAAAATATTATAATTAAGACTATTCTATTTATGATACGGCTCATTTGTCAAAGTAGAAGCACTTCGATGTATTGTTTAACTGAAAATTATATCCAAAATATAGTTTTAGGCTTCAAAACAAATCAATATAAACTGCGCGATTTTTCTTATCGAATTACACCAATGAGAAGCAAAAGTGAAGTAAGAACAGAGTGTTACATTGCAGACAACTTGACTGGACTTAATGGCTCATAAAGTTTTAAAATGATAATTATTAATTTTATCTCAGCAGATTTCTCTACGTTCTCTCAAATCTTCAACAACTGGAATTAAACTTGTTTTGAATTTTCAGCTACAGAGATTTAGGAACAAATACATCACAACATCGCTTTAAACCCCCACATCCATTTTCAGACAGAAACTATTATGAAACTTATTAATATTTTTCAGCTACATATGAATTTCTTCCACAGCTGAAAATAATAGTTTGTTAAAATAAATTAGAATTAGTTCCCATAAATTAACACATCGTACCGGTTTCGAGTACCTCTTTGTGGCTGTTGTCGTAGCAAGCCTTATCTGATGTCAGCTATTCTATGTGGTTACGCCAAGGTATGTAGAGTCCAGTTCGTTCTACCTTGAACATCCCAAACCACTTCCTGACCTTTGGGTAAGTCGCCGCGTTCCGTGCAATGGCGTCGCTGTGTAAAGGCAACGTTCTTAGAATGGTTAAAAGTATGAATGTATATTATTTCTACACAGAAGGGGTTTATATATCTGAGTTGCTATTAAAAATGCTTTAACTATACACTCCTTACAGAACATTATTATGATAACAAAGGGACGTCTACTGAGATGGGCGAAACATATAGCGCACATGGGGGAAATAGAGATGGGCGAGACATATAGCACACATGGGGAAAATGAAAAATGTATACAAAACTTGGCCGAAGACCTGAAGGGAAAAAACTGCTTCGAAAGCTTAGACGGGAAGGTAATATTAAAATGGATTGTAAAAACATGATGCGAAGTATACGCTGAATTTATTTGGTCCAAGATAGCGGCCAGTAGCGGTTTCTTGTAAACATAATATTTTACAGTCGTGTTCCATAAAAGGTCGGAAATTTCTTAACTAACTAAGCGACTATTATCTACTAAAGGACTCCGTTCCATCGAGTTGGACAACTACATCTAAGCCTAGGGACACTAATCTCATCGTCACCTTTGAATCTTCTTACGGGAAGTGCGTAAAAAGTAAACCTTTGCATTTAGGTAACATTTTACAAAAGACTATCACGAAAGGTTTTATGATGGAACATTTTATAAAAAAAATGAAATCTGTATATAAACTGCTTTCTAAGCCATAATGCTATTAATGATTCAAAGACAGAATTTGAGATGTTAGTCAAATTTATAATAAATGGAAATTGCTGTTAATAAAATTCTGATCGACAAACAGACAATACTGTCAGTGGTCACTTATCGTAGCATGTAGTACCATACAACATGTAGGAGGCGAAATGTTCTTTAGAATGTACTACACAACATGATGGTAGTCTGAACAGCAGGTGTACATTTTTACCTTAACCGTCCTTGTCCAACGAAGGCATAATTGAGCGGAAGGGGGAAGAATATAATAAGGGATGAAGGAAGGATTGTCGAAAGGTCATGAAGAAGTATACACAAAGAAGTTACGCTTGAGGAACTGTCTTTCCATTGGGAGCCCTACATCGTGAAATAAAGGTGTATTTATTTCCGAGACAGTATTATTATTTTTTAGAGTTCCGAAATGTCAAGAAATCACCTAATAAAATAAATGCAGCAGAAAGTTTCGAGTAGGAACTACAATTAGGCCTATCTGACGTGTGTGGCATCCCTTTTGTCAGAATAAGGCCGATTTATAGGCACGAAATTTGGTATGTTTAAATAATTAATGTTAAAAACGTATATATATATATATATATTGCTGATTTACAATGTCTTCAGACAGACTGTAATCTAACTCTAAAGAACTGAGCTTGCCAATTCACCTTCAGACAAGTCCTTACTCTCATTATTCAGTAACATTGCACGTTTTACACTTGAATGAAGAAACTTCAGGCAGGCGTCAATATTAATAAAAGGACCGCTGTTTGTTAATACTCTTGATTGAAATTCTATTAAGCAGTGTTATAATTTAGTCACTACCAAGACACAAACCGTAACAGTTGTTACAAATACTTTTGTGTTATCTGACAAGTTGAAAATGCGTCTCGAGGGTGATGTAGCTCGAAAAAACAAGAAAGCATTTTAATTTCTAATTGCGATCTTCTGGGTTATAATACAGTACAGTCTTGTTCGTACATACCAACGTTTCGGAGACGAATGCTGCCTCCATCTTAAGGGTGAAAATGAGAAGGAGTAGGTTGTTGGTAGAGTATACAGGAACACGTACGTGGAGCACGGGTAGACTATGGAACGGAGTGGAACCAAATCCGGACCAACATGGATTGGTTAATGTTTACTTACTTTTTTTTCCTAATATTTCGTCCAGTTTTATTTGTTCTTGCTTACCGTCTTAAAATTATTATCATCATCATCATCATTCAAGACCTTTAATAATTTTCAACTTGTACGTCTGGTTTCCCCTTTTTCGTCTTTTACAGTTCCTTTTTTACTTTCTTTACCCTTCTCCGTTCGTTTCTTCTGCTTTTTCCTCTCTTCGTCTTTTTATCTGTTCTCAGCGCATGCGTTTCTCATTTTTTCTTTGTTTATGCATGCATACAGCCCTTCTTCTACACCCACCTCTGCTTCTTATTCGTCTTCTGATATTCTGTTTGTTTTCCTGTACGTGTAAGGATTAATAATTCCTAAAATAAAAAGTTCTTAAATAATGCAACATTTGTTAAAGTAACTGATCTTAGAGAAGGTACTGTAAGCCAGAACTTTCAAAGAAGAACCACAGTAACGTGTTAAGTATTTATATTACGAGATTCTACTAACTGGGTTGGAATCATACCACGGAAATTCCTGTGAATTCCACGTCAGCCAACAAAAAGAAAATCACCTTGCAACATTTCCTAGTTCGAGGCCATGCGCTTCAAAGCGGGGGAGGAACACCCACGCCAGGAAAACACAGCCCTGTATTAGTCACTAAATAGGGATACGAAATGAAATTCCGTTTTTATAATACAATTTATCAATTCTGCCCAAGGTAAGATGTACTTTCACTGAATACCGTCTTTATCTGACGTCACATGGTCCCAGAAGGCGTATTGTGTGCAGGGGGTCTTCGTAAAATACCTCTGTTGTATGAGCAAGTTCCCACCAGGTGGCAGGTAAGCGGCGAAGAGAGAAAAGCTAGCAGTTCAGTGTTTATGTAGGCCAAGACAGGACATCGCGAGTTAGTGGTCGCCATCGTTGTTGGTACGTCAGAAAACAATGTTAGTGGTGTGGCTATTGTTGGCGTTAAGTTTAGTGTTGGTGCGTTCCAGTGAAGAACACCAGCCCTTACCAATATGTGACAAAGATGCGGGATCTGGCAGAAACTGTACATCAGGTGAGTGATTATCTGCAGACGCAAGAGGATTCTTTCATGCACCACAGATGTGAATGATTTGTTCTGCACGTCTACCAGATTTGTATTCATTTAAGTCTGTTACAAACTATAGTAACCTCGCATGTAATCATAAGTCATAAAGTTGAAGAGCATTTCGTACAGTCCAATGTGCATACGGTATTGATCTCCATCCGCAGCGTAATCACGCCGAAAACAACTTCCCAGGTGTCCCTCTTCGCGTTGTTTTGTCCGCTTCATTCAGACAACTCATATTCTGGTCACGAAGCCCATAAAAGTGACGATGTGTGTCATTAAAATGATATCCGTGACACTAGAATCCTTAGGGACCGGAAAATAAGCATTTGTAGTTAATTTTATTTCAGAATTTGGCAAATGGACACATGAAATCATTAAAATCCCGCATTAAATAAAATGACATAAAAACCAAAACTCATGTTTTTAGAATATGTGGAACCTTTATTGCTTGCCGAATATCTCATCCAACGCTTTGTGTCCCACAATTTCCTCTCAAGATTTGAGAAAACCATGACAACTTTTAGTAAGGATATATGACAATAAGAGTAATTCTATATTTTTCGAATATGCACCGTTCACTTTTCGATCAATTTATAAAGTTATCAGAGCTATAATTTATAATGGTTAATGTGGTTATGAATAATCGGTGATAAATATTTGGAGCGGAAAGTACATCATCGGTACTATTATATAGTTTTTGTGGAGTAAACCAAATACTCACCATTTTTCAGAGTCGAACAGTAGAATGACTAAATATTGCAGAGGATATGATATTGGAGGTAATGGTTGTGGTCTATTTTAATTTACTATTTCGGTTATTACCTCGAGGGGCTCAGAAAAAACATAAATCATCAGGATCGAAATTCAAACCCGAGATCTCCCGAATACAATGTTCATCACTCAACAGCGACGTTTTTCTCAGCGAAATTTACTGCAGTCTTCATTCTAATTCATTTCCTAAAGGTCATAACGAGATTGAAGAGACAAATATTGACAACTTCTCAGTGATAGTGATGTTCAACATTTATTCATGTATGTGGAGATCGTTGAACAATACGCTCCGTAATCTCTTCCACGAGGATTAAATTGTTCTTAATTAGTAACCATTCCACGAATACGTAATTAATACATTAATGCTTATAACATTTAACCTTAGCGTCGGCGAATTAAACTTATTCTGAGACATTGTTTAAAAAAGTATAATCTAGAAACTTTGTCATCCTGACATATGTTACCCCATTTCTATAGCACCGTTGAAACACTGAAAAGAATTCCCGCTACTATTTCAACATACTGCAGTCGTGCGCTTCTAGTGTCATCAACATTCTACGTTATTTTCAAGGTCAAAAGGGGGAAGCTAACCTCAGAGAGAATTGTAAAAGAAACAAAGAATTGTTGAATCGGTAAGAAAATTTAAGTTTATTGCCTTTGTCGTGAATCATACATACATCGAAGTTATAATTAGTTATGATAATGCGTAAACAGGTGTAAAGGAATATAATTAAGTAATTCGTATAAAATAATTTACTAAAGTATGTGATTATAACTGCACTGAGCACGTCTCAGAACCGGCATTTCCCCTCGGAATCTAAGCTTATTCTCTATCCCAGCGTTGAAGTTTCCTGAAATAAATGTCGTCAGAGAGCCTCTATGCAGGATGTTGATTGAAATAATAAATACATGAGTACTTAAAACAATATGAGATTTTAATTAATTTATATCATTAATAAAACATTAATTGTGATGTTTTCACATTGAAAATGTTCTTGTTACTTCAGTTTACTGACATAAAACACTCTAAAATTTATCTGTAAAAATGTTGATATGAAAATGGCATTCATAACCGCTATCGCTTATTTACAACAGAATTCGCCTGTATTTTAAATACAATTAATAAAGGTGAACCCAATTTTTGGTTCCTTATTGTTAAATACGTAATTCTGAGTAAGATGCCGTTACTTATAAGTTTATAAAACTGGAATAAAAAAGACAATTGAAACTCTTTACACAAAGGACGTTGAAAGAAGCCTTGAATTAATTATAGGAAGATAATTACAACGGAGATATACTAGATTACAGCTCAGAAGATAATTAAAATTTATTGTTTTATAAGTAGACATAAAATTGTCAATTTTCAATCATGTGTAGAAATGAGAATCATTATGTAGTTTGTGAAGAACACCTAAAACCACTATCAAGGACCGAATTCTGGTTAACTACAAATAAAACAGTCGGGCTTAACTACAAATAAAACAGTCGGGCTTAACTACAAATAAAACAGTCGGGCTTAACTACAAATAAAACAGTCGGGCTTAACTACAAATAAAACAGTCGGGCTTAACTACAAATAAAACAGTCGGGCTCTTTGACTAACTGAACCATTACATGTAATTTCGTTTTATTAATAAATTGCATTTGGAATAGCTCATCTTGCTCAGTGTTGTTTCCTACTTCTCGACATAGGCTAACTTGCAACTTGTTATTTGACCTGTTTACATTCTTTAGTATAAAAAATCTGTAACTAAAATGTATTTGCACTGGGATGATGAGTTAAAGGAATTATAACTTTCAGTGACAGTAAGACACTAATTTCACGTAGTACGGTCTCTATTTACGGCAAAACCAAAACGATGTTGGCAAATGCATTGTTCTGTACTTACGTCAGACACTACTTTAACAACATGAATCCTTACTTTCATGATCTAGTGGTTGAAGTAAATCTGAATGGAATTTCGAAAGAGGGAAAGAAACTGTTTCACTTGTTAAACATTTTTCCATTGTTAAAATTTATACTGAAATGTTCTTACTCTGTAGTGTAGTAGTATTTCTAAGCGCACACTTACATTTTCCTAGCAAAGACTTAATTTTGGTTTCTTCAGTCTTCCACTGGGATATCTCGTATAACGTAAATATTGCAGAGGGCTCTTTCCAGGAACGAGAAAGCGTGGGCCTGAAAGCGGGCAGCACTTGCTATAGTCTTGAAGTCTGAATGTCCACGGAACCTTATATTTGTGCTTGTTAAACGTCATGCTTAAAATATGTAAATATAGGTGTCGATGTTGGCAATGCGGAATTAAGGCAGAGATAAGTAAGTTAAGAGGCCAATTTCAGGCCTAGTCCATCGTACTACTGAGAACGAAGTGTAATGAAGTAGAATAATTTTTTCGGTCCTTGTTCAGCAAAGTCGATGCGTACTTATTTTTGTATTTTACAATCTCTAAAAGAAATTGACAGCTTTCCTCAGCCACATGATGAAGAAAGTGTATACGGATATGTAAATAGGCTATGTTTTTGTACAGTTAAGGAGTGAAAGATCCTTCTTTGTACGAGCAGATAGATAGGAATGTGCTTAATTAACTTGTCTGTTAGCAAATAGAAGTCTGGCGTGCTCTACTTTGGAGAGGGAACAGTGAATAAAAGAGTGTGTAACTTGTGTGCAAGTTTCAAGTAGAAAAATTATTATTGTAGATCAAGTGAGCTATACAACAGTAGATACAAATATCACGTTGTTCATCTCCGTGGTTAATAATATAACGTCAAAATTATATTGTAAGTAAGACATAGTGATCAAAATGACAACATAAATCTATGGTCTAAGTACTCTAAGTATATCGGGAATATTTTCTCCAAGGCCGTTTATTTCTGCTTTTGAAGTTACGTGCCTTCTTTAAGAATGATATATAATTAGCGACACTGAAGTAATGTCGGTCGGTATAAGGTTAAGTGGATAATAACACGTGATGTCGCATCTGAACGCAGATGAAACTTCTTATGGCTGTTTATTCTTGCAACTTTCCAACTTGACTTCGTGTTCAAGGCAAAGCTGCTCTAATAAGCAACTTTACTTGAACGCTTCCACAAAGCTGGTAGCAGAGTATAGGAGACATAAAACACGCAAAAACATATTTCCAAGATACATATTTTTTACACAGTGTAAGACAGAATATATAAGTACAATATTATTTAAACTGAAAAATATGTTCCAAAAAATAGTTTTCAAAATTTTGCTCAGAATGATTAAAAGGTGCGTAGAAATTATGATTCGAGATTTTATATCCATAGTGTTGTGTAATTATTATGAAAAGTAAGAATTAATTTTTAACAGAGAAAAATATTTGACATATTGTAACTATAAACACTGGAGCCCGTAAAGCAAGAAATGTTGGGATAGAGCCCGTTATGCACGGCCTGAAACGTTTTGTGTTACGGAACTTAATTTCGTGATCTGGACTTTCCGTTAATTTAAAATAGCAATTAGACAGTTATTATTTCTTCTATTATCATGTTTTATCATCATATACTTTGAAGGATTATCATGTATAAACCCTAACATATGTGTGACTGCAGTCAGTCAACACTAATCAGTCAGGTTAAGTCTAACTTCTAACGCCAGTTTCTAAGTCAGTGCACGAAACCCATCCACCGCCCATCTCTTGCAAAAACGTGCATTAATGATTTTAAATATATTTTGAACAGTCTGTGTGGCCTATTGTAATGATACAAACTTAATCACCCTCATCATTAACCAAAAGCAAGAAGCCACTAATAAAAAGAAAACTACTTAGCAATGTTGCCAGTTAAGCAAGCAAAATACAACTATTAATATCCGTTGAGCTCATATTTAAGATTATTTTCTCTCTCATAACCTGTACTATAACCCGCTTAATCAAAATTACTTACTTGTCTTAAGTATTTTGTTGTCTGAAACATGTTTTGTTCTTAGTGAAAAATAACCCGTTATAATTACACCATAATCCAAGAGCAATTCATGTGGTCATCTGACCATGACGTACAATGTACTCACACACTGCAGAAGCCAATACAAACATGAACAAGGCTGCAGTTGGGTTGTAGATGGGCCAGGTTTTACAAATGCAGGTGCTAGTGTTTTGCGAAGGGATTTCTGTCATGAGGCATTCGGGCATGAGCTCCCACTGCGTGTAAAAGAAGAGGAGAGCTTATTTTTATGACAATTTGCAACACATAACAAAGAGCATCCTGGTTTAGGAGCGCGCGCATGCGACTTGTTAATAGCAGATGACGTAAGGCCGGCAGTGGAGTTGGATAGCAGACGGGGCGTGAAGTAGGTCAGCCAGGCTCAACGCTCTTCGCCGGGGCGGCCATGACATGGCCTCGGGTTAGGGCGACACCGATCAGGAGAAAGCCGAATGACGGGGCAATCGAAATCGAATTATTTATTTGCCAAAAGGTGTCGAATATATGGTATGAAATATTTATACAGGGGAATGGACATAAGGAATTTTGGATGAAAGAACAAATGCTAGTGTTATTGGTGTTATTTCGAACAATACATAAATAAAGACCATCAGGCTTTTAAAATTGCATGAATAACATAACGTCATGCTAATATTGAATTTACAATAATTTACTTAAAGATTTAAATCCTTCTACTTTTATCTGTTTTAATATGGATATTGAACTCATGCTAATGAAGGAATATACAGTAGATTGCAGGTGTTTAAGCAGAAAGTGCTTAGGATAACAATCGGAAAAAACAAACAACAAGTATAAGGGGTGTAAAAATTAAACAATGAACAGCTTCATAACGTGTACTCTCCAACAAATCTTATTATGATTATTAAAGCAAAGAGTAGAGAATATAGCATGTATGGAACAAATAAAAATGCTTACAAAATTTTAATTAACAAATCTAAAGGGATGAAACCACTTGGAATACATAGGTATAGATGAAAGGATAATATTAAAATAAATATGACATCAGAATGAGGGCTGGATGAAGATAGGGACCAGCTGTTGGCTTTTTTTTTATGAGGGCTGGATGAAGATAGGGACCAGATGTTGGCTTTTTTTGGAATACGGTAATGAATGAGATTTCAGGTTTCTATGACGAAGTTTATGAAGATGGCTGTCTCCTAAGTTGTTCCGCTGTGTAGTCTGGTAGAAGTTTATCGACGTTTCAGAAGTACTTGCCACCTTCATCAACTTCGCCCTGATAATGGATGCAGCAAGCACCTTTAAGACGTTGGTAAACTTATACCAGATTACTTGGAGCAACGATCCAGAAGGCAGCCACATTCACGGTAATAAACCTTAAGATCCATGAAATTGAAGAAATTTCGTGACAAGAGGAGAAATTTTAAGCTTCTCAGAAATAGTTCTGTTTTACGAAATTATTCGATTATATTAGCTTGTAATGGATTGCGAACTTACTTTAGGAAATTGTGTATCTCTGGAACTACCGCTGATATAGACTGCAGTTTAACAGCGTTTTCTTCCCACACTAATTGGTTATGAGCGAAATAATTCCGCATTTACTCTCTACAAACCACGCCCATATTAGAACTGTTCATTCGCATTACTTCACAAGGACTAAAATGCTACAGTGCAATAAACGACATGATTCGATATTAATTCTGGTTACGTCTGTGATGAGGACAAGTAGTTATCTACACGTTCCGTCTATTTTACTGAATTATCCCAGCTCTCTAAACAGAACTGAGACAAATAGTAAACTTTAAGTGACGTTATCGGTTATCGGGGTAGGATCCGCGTACTTTCCTACCTCACATGAGTTGTGATCATTGTGCAGACAGGGAGAATAAAATTTTGCGCACTCTCTCTTATTCATTACTAATCTCTGATTGAAATTCAGTCCGTGTCTCTTGCCGCGTCTCTTACATCACAACCAGTTTTCCCTGATGATCGACAACAATGAATATCAGATACGATCCTGTCCAACCAGCATCGTCATCCTGTTCAAAGCGTACGTAGGTACCGATCCGTTGTTCCTACGATGGGACACATCATATCAATCCACTTGAACCCTATTCAAATGTGTTTTTAATTAACACGGCTCCTTCAGAATTATAAATTTCACTGCTGTACTATATCTAAATCAGTTCAGTGGTGTCAAATATTCTCCTTTATACATGCTTTACAATTGAGTAAAGTTTGATTAAGACATTGCTTATTTAACTTGAATTAGTTACGCTTAAGATGGGTCTGTGGTAGCTGAATGTAATGTAAGGTAAGGTATTGTAATGAAATGTTTTATAGGTAACAACAATGCCGAGTAAACAGATGACGTTTCCTAGGTAACAACAATTCCGAGTAAACACGACGTTCCTTAGGTAACCATTATTATACTTTTTCGTTCCACTTTTTGCCGAATGACCCTTCCTTATAGACGTATTTACGTCAAAAAAACACTGGCCTATTTGTGAATGAAGAATTGGAATGGAAGCTGAAGGTAACTATCATCGTCTACTTAAGGTACTATATCGTGAGAAAGCCGGAATTTGTGTGGTGTGACTGAGGAAACCATAAATAAGCTTCAGTAAATATAACCAACTTCTGGAACGAGATCTAAAGCCAAGTACGTGATAATTATTTGACTGTGACTTTCGGGATATGTAGACCTGTCCGCAGGAAATGAATCACAAGGACAGTGATAACGGAACATGAGAAACGCATTTACGAAAGAAGTGTAGTGAACTACAAAAAAATTTGTACCAGTTGCATTAACTGTTCTCAAAGCCAGGTCGCGCGGAAATGTAATATTATTAAATCCGACAAGCAAGCGCACCGCGACACTAAGATATAATATTATATTATTATTATGACGCAGTTGTATATACGATTGGGGCGGTCAAGGCTGTAACTCGGCTGTAGCACCACAAGAAGAAGAAGAAGAAGTTCTACATACAATAAAATATTCCTTCCTGCCGGTACAATATTAGCCAGACCGAGGCATTTGCCACTGATCTGTAACCCAAATTAGAGTTGGTACATATTTTCACTCTTATTATGAATAATGGACGAATGGGTATTGTCTGTCACAGTAAACTTTTGATAATCACTTGACCCCCCCCCCCCAGGAGCTCCGAAAGGAGCGCTCTGCTCTAGTTATGAATAATGAACGAATGGGTATTCTCTGTCACAGTAAAATTTTGATAATCACAAATCCAGATAAATTACCCAGTTCATAATCTCGCTTCTACTTGATGGAAAGATCATTGCTCCAAATAGGAGGCGAAGTCCTTAGCGTCCAATAAATATCAATGTGAACGTTATCGAACGTCTTGGTTTTTTATACATACAACTTTTCGTAAACTGAATCTGTTCACGTCTAGACGTGTACAGAAAGGGCGAAGGGAAAGGTTTCCTACTCAGTTGGGGCCCTGGTTCCAGAAATCGAGACTAGCTTGTTCAGAGGGGTCAATCTGAGTAAGAACGTTAATTTTCCCCCTTATGGTACCTGAAGACGGAAACATCAAGTTTCTGAAACGATGTGTTTGGAATATATGGATAATGTTAATAATAACGGTCATATTTTCTGTAACACGTCCTCATTACAAACTTTTCGCTTACCGTAGAGTCCATGTTGTTTAGAACGCAGGGCAATGACGGTCGTCCCTTTGTCAAGGATATCATTTCGAAATCACGCCAGCAGAATTATTGGTATGTATTATGAACTACATTCTTCCATTATATTTGTCTCACACCCTCTCTTTCGTCTGTACTTTTCTCGTATTTATAGTGGATTATTATTTAAGCTTAGTAATGAATGACTACTATTAACTTTATGAACAGAGAATCAGAAAGACTAGAAAGACGTCATGTTTCTTTCTAGGACACTGTCTCGGCATTGTCAGAAGTCTAGTTACAGCAAATATCAGAAGAACAATTTAAACTTTTCACTTCTGTAATGAATTTGTCCTGACAGGACACAAATAATAGCAAAGTAGTATATATTACTGTGAGTGGTAAGTTGGATAGGATATTCAAAGATTTGGCCGTGGATTCTTTCATGTACTGTCTCCTGATTTACCTAAAGTAGCTAAAGAGAATCATAAAATCATGACAGCTTATCTCGAGGCTCAAATCTGAACAGGTTATCTACTTGCTCTGAAGCAAAATTGTCAGTTACAAAACGACGAGTTTTGGCGATAAAAGAAGTTTCGATTAGAAACACAGCTCTGTTTTAAATTCATGCTACGACTCCTTGTTCGAGAAAATATATGATATTAGGTTTTACGGCAGTTCAGATGTCAATGTTAGTCTCATGGGTTGACACTGGCAGTATTTTCGTTCGAAAAGTTGGTACATATCTACAAGTCAAACGACTTTACAACACAGAATATCAGTATAGATAAATAAATACTTTTGGTGTGTAACATTGCTGGTAAATGATTTCAGTTGTTTCTTTCTTTCTCGACTTATTTATAAGTAGCGCTTCAAGAACGAAAATACGTCTATGTTAGCACGGACACACAAATAAAAAAATGTAGTTGCTAAAAATAAAAGTGGGAAAAGTAACATAATGAAGTAAAATCTATCACTTCTACATTTGTTTATAATCGATCTACAGTTTAAGAAATGTTGCAAAATGCGAAAATAAAAATGTAGGCGTGCGCTACGGCATAGCTGACATACTAAAAGGTTTTTAACGATAAACAAAGGTTATAGGATTCGAGACTTCATTACTGGATATACGACACCAGAAATTTATGTTTCTTGCAGTTTTAAGTCTAACAACGTCCAATCTGTTACAAGCTTTGGAAAGGAATAATCAATATACGAGTCTGCTGAATATAACGTAATATATTTGGGATACACTGACGATCATCGCATTGATGTTAATGTAAATCACTTAGCGTCTTGAATAAACTTATTTCCATACAAAATCTTGCTTCATTTCCCAGTAAAAGGAATGGCCAACATGGTAACAGAAAATTTATCGCAGTAATTCCCATTTTAAAAAGTGTCTTACAGAAGCAGTTTTACAAGACTGTTTTTGTATTCGTATGTATTGTGTTGTATGAATGTTTTCAAAGATTTCGTTCTCATATGGAAGTAGTAATTAAATTCTTTACTTTAATAATACTAATATTAACAAAAATAATAATAACGGAGTCATGCAAAAATACTGTTGCAATAATTAATTTCCAGGTATAAGATAACGACAAATAATGGATTAGTGAGTCATGCAAAAATACTGTTGCAATAAATTAATTTCCAGGAATAAGATAACGACAAATAATGGATTAGATGCAATGGAATAATAGGCTATGGTAATAGTCAGAAACCTAAAGCCGATAAAGCAGTAAATATATATAAATTAATGTTAAAGAGCACAGAATGTGTAGCATAAAAACTGAAATGATTATTCAATTTTATCAATAAATTATATGAAATAAGTAAATGTACTATTTAGGCACTTGAATCATTAGACCTACATGGAAACTTTGTGGTTGTGATAATGTATTTGGTGTGCATTTTCTCACCTTAATTGAGCTGAATTAATATTTTTAAATATGATTTTTTTCAGTCAGTCAATTGGTAGTTGAACCACATAATTCTCTTAGACTATGAAGAGGTTAGAAGAGATCAGCATTATCAGTCTTATCAATACAGTTAATGACTTAATCATCGTTTAATTATTATGGTGACCAAATCAAGGAGGATTAGATGGGCAAACATGCAGCACGCATGAACAGTGACAAATTCTTGCAATGTATTGGTCGGAAAACTTCAAAGTAAAAGGCCACTTGAGAAAGCAAGACGTAGATGGTAGAATAATATGAAAAGGAATAAGACGTGATTTTATCTGGATCAGGACAGGGACCAGTGGCGGGCTCTGTTGAATATGATAATGAACCTTCGATTTTCGTAAATGACGGGGAATTTCTTAACTAGCTGAGTACCATTGCTAATTAAGGACACCGCTCCGTAGAGTTAGTGAAATACGTAACACATTGTGTTTACGTGAGAGAGAGGCCTGTGAGCGCTCCATTAATTGTGATTTACTTTCACCAACAAGAGCATGAGCATTGTTACGTGTGAAACATTTGCATTATAGTATTCCACGTAGGCGAAATTCTTTTACCCTGTTCCCACCCAATGTAATACGCTGACACCACCCATACGCTGGAAACAAAGAATGTGAATTCTAACAACACAAAAATATTGCGTTTCTTTTTTTGGTTTATTCATGACTGCGCTCTAAGCGAACTTTATACATGTAACTACTAGTCACATTACTCAATCTGCCATGTACAGGCTACGAATGTATTTGTTACATTTTTGTTCGGAGAGATAATTTAAACTCTTCCTTAGACTTACAGCTTATTCATGCTTTTTCACCGATAAATACAAGTAAATGTGCATCAATAAGGAAGCTGGTAAAATTACTTATAACAGTGAACAAAAGGAAATATTATTTTGCATATTGTATTCTCTGAGATACAGTCCCAATATACTTTTATTATTTTAATATTCTTAATTCTCAACTTGGTCATTTAGTTCAATTTGTATCCTGTATTTGCATGTCACAAGATGGCCGATAGAAAAACCGAAACACGTAATAATTTCTTTAGTACAGATTACACAATTAAAACTTTGTTGTATTGACTGTTGCATGTACTTTGTTATAAATATAACAGAATACTTCAGTCACGATAAAAAGTAAGGTTACTTTACAAAAAAAGAAGAAGATAATCGTCCGCATAGGTCTAACGCGATACATACTTAGGAACACTAATAAACACGAGCAGATTATGATAGTTGTATCATGACTTTTGTCGAGCAAAAACGGTCCAAGATGGCGCTATCGGTAAGCCTATTTATTTCGTTAACTGTTTACTGTACATTTCTGAACTTTTAAATGTAAAGACACGAATTAAGTTAGTGTTTTGCAACCTTTATAAGAAATTTTATGTTCAAAGTCAATATCTTACCTTTCGTAATTACATTTCGTAGTAAAAACACACGCACAAACACACTAGGTTCATACTTGATAGTTTTATTTAATATGTATTATCTTTATTTTCATAAGCCAGCTTTCATTCAGGACAGGGATTTATAGGGGATACCAGGGCAGAACAGGGTATCGGCTTTATTTCGTCTACAATGCGTTGCGATTTATCGGGAGCTGGTGAAATACCATTGGCATACAGCACAGGGTCATATCATGTCAGTCAGCGCCATTTTGTGGTTACAGTTTCAGAAATAATCACCTATGCTGGATTTTACTCCTACATTTTACAAATTTTTCTCAACTTCCAGTGAAAGTAAGACCTATTCATTATTCACATCCACTTTGTTGAATGGTGCATGTTACGAGATGTTTTCTTGAAAGTCTTAAACACAATATTTTTATTTATTTTCATGATGTCATTTTTGGTGGGACAATCCTAATTTGAAAGATTATACTCGGGGCAGGATGGGGTAGGGCGGAATGGGGTACCCAAAGAAGAGGATCAAATGACAAGTGCCTGTAATGTGGTAATGATCGGTGCGACCCCCACAACTACTGAACTCCCCTCTCTCGGCTTACACATTGCGCATTTAGGTGCCACCACTACTCGCGCGACCTCTACAATTCTTGACTGGTCCATGAATTTTTCTCTTCGTCATTCTACCTCCCACCTATTCGGTACGGTGGAACCTCTCGTCAAGGGTAAAGGGACTGGAGCATAAAACAACTGACCACTCACCATCATTAGTACCGAGATTAAGACTGTGTTGATATTTACTTTTCTCTTTGTCATATCTTCATAGCATGGTGCTTGTAAAGGGGGGATTTTTTTATCCTTAATTAAGGTTGTCACTTTCTGTCTCTTAACACGAAATAAACGAGAAACACTATACGCCTACTTTTCTTAATTACCTCATCTTGATTTGTCATAGTCTTACTAAATGTTGGGGCGGTAAATTAAGAACGGCCACATCCCAATTTATTCCACGAACATTCCAATTCGTCATGAACAATCATTCTGTAATTTCTAAGTCGACACGAAATTTTCTATACAGTTGGAAAACCTCGTTAACTAAACAAATAAAAATACTCTGTTCTCATTTGTATCGCATGGAATGTGTTGACATGTGCCCTTTTCATAGCATGACTTTTAGCAATAAACTTTGTAAACCTAACGCATAGACCTAATTTGAATAGTTTCCAATACAGGCTAATCTCGCTGTACGTGATTTTTCTAACCGCGGTTCTTTTAGGCATTATGTAGAGCATCAATATCCCAATTTGCGGCCAAATTTTAAAGCCTGTTACCTGCGTCGAAGCTTCTATAGGCTTATCAGTGTATAAGGTGCAAATGATAATCTTAGAATCTAAGAATCCTGGAGTCATTTTAACATTAAAATGGCGATTGTGACACACTTCCCGTTTTATTCAGTTAATATTGTTAGGGTGATGAAAAATAAAGTTTAAAGAAATGGGTTGGGCATGAGAAAAAAAAAGACATGTATTCAAATTTGTCGTAAAACCTACCCAGAAGCAGGTAGACGACAGACACAAGCATTATGAATGAATTTTAGAGGAACAGGATTTGAAAACATGGACTGGATTCAATTAACTTCGGGTAGCATCTAATATCGAACCCGAGCCTCCGATACCCAAAAAAATATTGGAAGGAACAATATATGGGAGAAGGCCAGTGGGAAGACCTAAAGGTAGATGGCTGGATGCAGTGACGACTGACTCCAGAAATCTCCTTGGAACAGCAGCTTGGAGAAGGATTGCGTTGGATAGAGAGGATTGGAGGAAGAAGATAGAGAAGGTAGGGCTCGATTTTGGGCTGTTACGCCATAGTAGTAGTAGTAGTAGCATCTAATAACTGGTTCTCGTGAAACATGGTGATGATTTTTTTTTGTATCTTATATGCGGATCATTATAATATATTGCATCAAATATCTAATAGTTTTTAAAATATTTTAAATTGATAAAAACCTGAAGACGACGGTATTACCCGTCGAAACATGTCGTTTTAATAAAAGCGCTAAAAAATATAATGTAAAATCGTATTTACGATTAAGAGCGCTAATATAATATTTTACACAACAAAATGTTTTAATATTATATAATTTTTACAACACCAATAAACTTCAAACGTTTGTGTATAGACTGTACAAAATAAATATATGGTGATGATTATTCGGGATCCATAAAGGGAACAAATTCATCTACAAGTTAAGTAACTATCAAGTTTTCAAGAACAATGTATTTGAAGTTTTCACTGCGGTGAATCTGAAGATGGCTGTCTTGTGGGTTGTAGTGTCGTGTGATGTGGTAGAAGTTTACCAACGTTTCAGAGGTGCTTGCTATCTCCATCACCAGGTCGATGAGATCAGATTTTCGCTACACGGCGCCACGACACAGAGGACAGCCATCTTCAATCTGTACGCTATTATTGAGTTCAATATTGGCGACTACAAGAGAATTCTTTGTTTATCGATTGTAGCCACAGCTCTCAGCATATTGATGTCTGCATGGTCATTCCTTTGTTTCTAGCTGCTTGTGTGGTTATTGGTGTGAACATCATACCTGCCTGTGCCTTGTAATGTGAGCCTGTATTTCTTTCACGGTGAAGCGATTCGTAGCATGTTACGTCATCTGTCAAGCGGGTTGCACAGCGCAACCAACCTCCAGGCACACCTTATTCACGGTTATAAATAGACGTCGGTTGTAACTCTTTTTCTTGTATGTACATCGTTAATTCAGGAATCGTTAAACCTGAACAATAGAACCCCTGCAGATCTTAAAGCTTAAATTTAATTGTGTTATTACCAAAATTCCGGGTCACACTTGAACCATTCGTGTGTTTGTAGGACACCTCAGACGAGGCATTGGCTCGGAAGCAAAGCGTGACACGGAAAACGAGTATAAATTGGCATGTCCACGAACTGGTAGGAATTAGGGACCCCAAGCCAAATGTACTTGTGTCCCAAAGACCGCACATAAATAATATTGTAGAAAACTTGTTACGCTATTTGTGGTAAAATGTAATTTATAAAAAATGCTTCTAACAGTGTTATTGGCAAAAATTTGTTTTCTGTCATCAGCGGTTGTCAATGTAACAATCCTCCATGAAACATTTCCTTGGTTAAAGTACGTATATTTTTCTTATTATAAAGTATTTTCATTTCAACACCGCAAATGGAATTCGATGGAATGCGATTTTCTAAAAAAAACAAGCTGTGGTGAATTAATATTTTCGTAATTTAAAAGCGTCACCTAATATTATTAGGGGCATTAAATCAAATTGAATGAAACAGGAAAATGATAGATGCACGTGGAAAAGAACGAGAAAATACATACAAATATTTGGGAGAAAAACACCAGTGAAAGATTCCGACTGAGAGAAGCAGACGTAATTAGCATTAGTAGGCTCCCTGGATTGTTACAATTCAGAAAAATAAACTTCTGAAATTGTAAATATTTTCAGAGATTTTGAAGAACACCTTGGATGGGAACTCACCTCAGCATCTTGCAAAGCGTCTACCACACGACATATAAAATGCGGAGAAACATTGATGTGGAATTCAAACCCACGATAACAAGACAGCGGCCATTTTGATGGGGTTACGTTGTTTTCTTTTGTCGATTAATCGGTATGAACATTGTACCTTTTATTATAACCTCGAAATAAAATAATATTTCATGCATGAAATATTTTGTATTCAAAAAAATGTGTGCATTCATGACTGAAATACGTTACAAACCTAAATATTTAATTTTGCTGTTAAAATTATTAACAGCATTGCTTCATTACAGTATTGCAGTATTTGAAAGGAGATTTACGGATTTAACTCCCCGTCTCATTAATATATGTAGGTAATTTATTTGATTTTTCTCAGTTTGCTCAGGCACCTCCTGGAATTTTACCTTAAATTAAGCCAAAACCGTCACATTCCGCTACCTTTCCAATTCATTATTCACCGATTATATGATCGTACAATCATTCTACGCCATATAATCTGGCCTGTTGACAGCGTCGTTAATAAACCACAAATAATTTGTTTTAAAATAAAGACGTAGGGTTGAAGAAACAATCATTTGTACATGCAACATATATAAATCGAGATGCAGGAAAAGAGTTTTATAAATGTTTCTGTTGGCATTTTTCAGTATTAACATGCGATTCGGACATTGAAATAAACTTTGCAGTCTCCCGTTCCAAAATTGAAAGTAATCATTTTAAAAACGATGTGCATGAAAAAATCTATTAATCTCTTTAACAGATAAATTAGTAACTGTTTAGAAAAAAATCCTTCTTACTCAAACTGTGAAGAAATTCCTTGCCAATGATGGCTGTCTTCTGGGTTGTTGTAGTCTGATAGAAGTTTACCGACGTTTCCAAGGTCATTGCTGCCTTCATCGTCATCGGTTGATGGAAGTAGCAAGGACCTCTGAAACGTCGAAACACTTTTACCAGACTACAACAACCCAGAAGACAGCCATCTTCAGACTCACCGCCATGATAACCTAAAGTCCGACAAATTCCCTGACATTTATGGAGCCGCAAGATTCATTACCGTGTTCACAAAAGCCCTCCACCCAAGTCCGAGATCCTGTGTAACATTTCGTGACGCGGAGTTTTTATGATAGGGGAGCTATTAGCTCCTCGTCCAACACTCAAGATGGAGAATCAGCCCTTGTCGGCTGTCCGAGACTGCTTATTCTTTATATTCTCCGCTACCTTCCAAGTCCGAAAGACTCCTGTTTTACCTCCAACCTGAGCACGTGCCATGCCTTGGTGTCAAAGAACCCACTTAACATGGATTTTAAATACAATGACAAATTAATACATAATAAGTCACTGTAGTATTAAGCATTAAGATTATAATTATCTATATTCGTGAGAAGGTGATCTTCAGTTCCATTTTCGCCATTGTGTTATGATATTTATGGCCCTCGTGCCAATGGTTGGGCATCGACGCTATAAGGCCACTGTCATGATCCAATCGACAAGCGACGCATATTAAGTTTCAAGGTATTTATATGCAGTAAGTTTGAGACGCCAAATAAGCGTGGATAGATTTTATAACGTGATTCATTTTGGCTTATATCCACATAAGCGCAGACAAGTATACGCCAGGTGTACAAATTAATGACGCAAAAAGAAATTTTAGAATTATGTATCATTATTCAGCCGAAGGGAAGACAACATAACAAAAATTTAGAAATTTTCAATAATTTTTACTTCTTCTGACAGACATTATCCAAATTACAAGATCATTTGACAACCCTTGATTATATGAAGATATGCGGAGTGGTTCATTCACTGCACGTTACGAGGGATTGTTGGACAATGAACGTAGCCAAGTTTTATTACACAGATAGCGCGCCACGATTTTCCGGGAGATTGCTTTGATCTAGTCTTCCTGTAACAAAACGGTGCATAGTAGTTGGCATACAAGATCCAATTTAGATCCCAAATGTTGACACTAATACTGAAAATAAAAGCAAAGATTACCTGTGAGTATAACGTAACGGAAATAAAGTATACTTCTTAATATAATATATCAAAGGCTGTGGTTTGTATCCAAAAAAAATTATGGTATTATATGACGCTTCAGCAAACCTTTTTTTAACTATAGCTCGTGTTAAAACACATAAAATTGGTTCTTGAGAGTGAAGCAATACAATGTTAAATTTTCCTTTCTAATTATTCTTTTAAAATGACCAGACTAACTTTATTATCTCATGCAGCATCCTAAATGCACAAGTAGTTATTATCTGTCTGAAGATACCATAACATCTTCACATAGTTTGGTTAAATATGGGCATGTAATTATTTATATTTAATTGTAGCATCCTGTTGTGGTGTACCAGATTCTTTTAAACATAACCTATATTAACCCGTCTTAAGCACAACAAGACTTAATTTTTGACAGTTAATTAGTTCACTTAATTGAAATAAAACCAGTACGTCATATTAACGCTCCTACAATAGAATTATGTATTAAAGCGAGAATATTTTGCAGTTATGTGCTGTTATTATTATATTGAATACAACATTTTAATCGGTGTAATGCGTATTAAGGAAATTTATAAAACATGTTATAATTAACAGTTAATTTTTATTGTTTATTTAACAACACTCTCAGTAACTTCAACTATATATCGTTTATATAGTACCTGTGTTGTGATTAATATTTATTATTAAAACTATAATACATTATGGATTATAGGAATTACAATCACATAAAATTTAAATTAAGTGGATCCAGTTTATGAGAGATATTTTACATCAGGCGTGGGCTTATCTCTAACAGCTTCGGGCAGATCTAGTTTCGTCATAATGGCCACGGGTCCTGATATTACATACTATCATTAAAGTTATTGTCAATAGTTGAAAAGATTTAGTCCGAAAACGGGGTTAATTTAATGATTAATAAAAAATATTGGTCGGTTAATGTTACAAACATAAAACAGCTTGATATTTTACATATAAAATAGATTACATTCTTGAATTATAAAGTGTATGAAACACGTAAAACTTTGGCGGGCCGTGAGTTGCTATATTTATTTCGGAACAATGAAGGTTATTTTTACTACCAATAACTTTCTCCAAGACTGCCATATGGAACATTTTTATGACATTGGAATATATGCTTTCAAAACAAATACGGTAGTTGAACTTCAGTATTTC